TTCCAAGACCCTCAAAGACGCTTTACAATGTTCATGTATCATTCATTCACACACTGATGAAACTACACTGTAGCCACAGCTGCCCTGGGGCAGACTGACAGAGGCAGGGCTGCCATGCTGCACCACCGGCCCCTCTGACCACCATCAGTAGGCAAGGCGGGTGAAGTGTCTTGCCCAAAGACACAACGACTGAAATGGCTGGACTGGGGATCAAACTGGCGACCTTCTGTTTCCAGGATGACTCCCCTAACCACTCCTCCACAGCCTTCCAATTCCACTTGTTCCTCCGTTCCAACTAAAGACAGAGGTTGTAGCTCCTAAGTTTTTGAACAAATCATCAGCTCTGTGGATTTGGTGGAGATTTATAAAAAGCAGCTACAAACTCACCTTTTATGCCAGTTTTTACCATGGCTGTATGAGTTTTAATGTTTGTCTCATCAATGCTTTGTTTATCTATGTGTTTTTATGCTCTGTTGTGTGCCGTTTTGTTTTATTATGAAGAACTTTGTGGTTACTTGACTYTGAAAAGTGCCATACAAATTAAGTTTACTTACTAATACAGTATCTAGAGTCACAAGCTTCTGCAACTGTAATTTTGTGGGTCAGAAGCTAAAATGTTTGAAAACTACTGATCTGAGACAGACTGGATGAGATTTTTATTTAAAACATTGGCTTTAACTGTTGTCAACCCTGGCTGTAGAAACCGTGGGAGCACCTGCTCCATCTGCTCCACGGTGCAGGCGCCTCTCCAGGTGGTCTTTCTTACAGACGATTAAACTCAGAACTCTGACCTCATAACGTGCTCCGGAGCGGGTCATGAGTTTAGCACAAGTTTTCTAACAGCTCAAACAGAGCCTCCTTCATGACACCAGAATCTCTTGAGTTGCCGTTTTTTTTCTTCCATAAAGGCAACTGCAGCTCCTCTCACAGTCTTTTCACACACAAACATTTCAGTGCCCACCTGCATGTTGTTGAAGAGTCTTGGTTTCTCAAACTGAAACTCGATATCCACGCTGCTTTGTCCGAGGGTGTCCCGACTCCAACCCAGGTAGTCGTACCCCGGCCACACCCTCAACTCCTTTGTTTCTATGAAGTCGTCTCCTCCCAGGACGCCATCACAAAGCTGGCCCAGGCCTCCGAACTGCATCCTGCACACAGTCAGATCACATGTTGCATTAAAAGGGAAATATCCTGCTTTTAAATTCTTCCATTTCACTTTTAAATCTTCAGTTGGGGTCTGAATAAAGCAGAACTGCAACACTTTGGTCTCAAATCCTCTTTATTGTAACTCCACAAGCCTCTCTTTCACCCTTTTCTGAGCTGTGTCTCAGATCAACTCATTTTGGTGCTGTCTCTTTAAATGCAAATGAGGCATTTCACACTAGGGAAGCCCCCATCAGATACTCTGTATCGATATCGGTGGCKGATATGGCTATTTTTTSAAAATCGAGTAGAATCTGATTTAGTCATGTAATCGGGCCGATCCAGTTTTCATGACAGTTTTCAGCATCATCATGCTTTACAACTGCCGTTAAGAAGTCAAGACGCACACAAGTATGCAACCTTGTCCACAGTGTGGGAACGCTTTTCAATGGAAAACAATGATGCTGAAACTGCATCTTGCAAAATCTGCAAACTGGATGTTTCTCGTGGTGGGAACAGCAGGGCTCGCTTTAATACTACATCCTTGTCACTTGGAAAGAAATAGAGAAATAAAGCTATCGGATCGGTATCGGAAATATTAATCATTAAAAAATCAGATTGTATCAGGAGCCAAAACATCTGGATCGGGACATCTCTATTTCTCACCCCATTTGGCCATTTTTGTACTTTGATAGAGAGGTTTACGACTATATAGCTGCACAGAAATGTTTTATTTACAATTGAATCAAAAGATGTCGACAAGAAAGACGTGTCCGTCCAGCCTCTCATCCAGAACCAGAGGAGAATGAAAATGGCAAACCTACAGAACCATGTCCTGATGCATCTCAGTAATCCAGGTAAAAAATCAAAAGGAAAAAAAAAAAAAAAATTGTATAGGTCCTCTGGACGGGTTCTTCTTTAATGAAACGTTTCTTCCAAACACCCTAATTAATTAGGGTGAACCATAGTCATGTGATGTGAGTATCAGTCGCCTGGAGGCAGGACTTAAAAGCCTGAATTTTGCCTGAAACTCTCAGACTGAAGAAGTCTCTTGGAAGAGAGACAAAACGTTTCATTAAAGAAGAACCCGTCCAGAGGACCTATACAATTTTTTTTCCTACAGAACCATGGAGTCGCAAAATTGGTTAGCTGGAAGTCCACGATCTTGTTTAGCAGTTCTGCAGCAAATACTGTGAGGTTACTGTTCAAAATACAGAACTGACTAAAAAATATGACCCAACCAGAATATAAAGATATCTATGCAGCACCAGGAGAGCCTAAATTCAAATTTTCTGCACTCCTAGAGTCTCCAAGTACACAACAAAATGCATTTAACAGCTAAAAAAGTGAATTTTGCAAATGCTATTTTTAATGCGTTAGTGAATAGGGAGATTACACACAAACATACATTTAAACACCATCTACACAAACACACTTCAGCAGGCACGAAGCAACACACTAGGGTCAACTAAAAGGTTCCCTCATGAGCCCCCCGCTCYTACATCTGCTAGAAACACGTCTGGATTACATCAGAAGTGCCTGCTCACGCGTTAGCAAAACATTTCAGCCCCATTAACCGCACAGCCTGTAAAAATGTGGACACCCCACCGGCACCCCCACTCCACCCAGAATTCCTGGTTTACCCCTCATTTGCTCGCTGCCAAACATTACAGTGAGGAAACACGCCTCAAATCCCAGAGCAGCGACGGAAAATAATATCATTCTCTTTCAATTAGGAGGACCGAACAAACAAAAACTTTGAAGCAAGGATCTGACTGAGACCACACTTTGAGTTTAGTGGATGTGATGAGAAGCGTGGAGACGTTTCACCTCAATTTTCTGACAGTCAAATTGTTTTCCAGTCTTTACCCGGATCATATCGACACAACAACAAAGCCACGTCTCCATGAAAGCCTTCATAAAAGAATCTATGAGAATCAAAGAGGAGATGCCGTCTCGTGCATTGAAAATAAATAAATAAATAAAAAGGAAATGAGGGGGAAAAAGATCCAGCTGAATATCTTTACCCTTGTTCTACGGTTCCATCGTAGGTGGAGTCGTTTAGATAGACCGACGTGCCCTGCAAGTTCATGACGTGACCCACTGGAGCTGTGTACGCCTTCAAACCATCTGAAAAACATACATTTACCTGTTTCTATATGGAGGAAAACACATTTTATAAACTTAGATTATAGACCAATATGAACTSTTTGTTTTTTTACATTCAATTTTTTAAATCACTGAAGAAACTATTTTTCAACACCTGTGGATGCTTTGTGATCTCATCAAATYTGTTAAAAATCCCTTTAAAGTCACTTAAGCTGTTATAATAAGACAATTCCTAAAGAGAATCCAAAAAAGGCAAATTTATACAAACCTCGTAGAGTACTGATAACATATAAATGGCCTACAGAAAGTCTTATTTTGCTTATAAAATATTTAAATATACACAAAACAATTTAAATCTTGCTTCAACAGCGCAGGTGCCAATATTTTTTATATAAATGTAAAACTAAAAAAGGTCAACTTCTCAGGTCTGTTCATTTAATACAACTGTAAAAACACAAACAATGACTCACAAAGCATTCACAACATATGCACTTTTTTGCTAAATGATACCATACATATAATTTTGCAAAAAGCTTGAGCCACATTTTGCTTCCAAGGAGCCAGACTTAAAAAAAAAGGTAGCACAAAACGAAAGGAAAACTGTGTTTGGTACATTATGTCTTTGTTGTAACAATGCTTCTTAGCAATAAATTTAAACCATTGGAAAGCCTGTTAATTTCTCTTTTAAATGGTGCCACATTTGTAAGGAACATGCATTTGTGGGATGAGCAGTAGAGCRGGGTATGTGGGTTGGTGTTTTTCTTTAGCTTCTTCTGTCTTATCAATCAACTAAAACCATTTATCAATTAAAACTGTGGTGTTAAACCCTGGTCCTCTATCATCCTGCAGATGTTTCTCTGCTTGGACACACCTGTTTGAATGAGGTAATAAAGTGAAACTTTATTTATATAGCAGCTTTCAAGATAAAAATCACAAAGTGCTTCAATAGACAGAACAACAAATACACAAAGCAAATTTACACAAAAAACAGATTTAAAAAGGTAAGTTTTAGCTGGCCTTTAAAGGAGGCCAGAGTCTGGGAGCAACAGAAGGAAAAAACTCCTTTAGTTTAAAATGGAGTGAAAAACAGAACCTGAAGACCTGCTGAAGAGCAGAGAATCATCTAAAACATGCAGGAAAGAGACTGTCAAGGACCAGAACTGAACACCCCTGAACTAAAGGATCTCTAAGGTCTTGTGTCAGGACTTTTGATATTTTTTTCTCTTCGTCTTTGAAAGATGAATTTCAGATAACGGTACATCTGCTGTAGAAAAGTCTGTTCTCCACTCCTTCCTCAGTTTTAGGCACACGCTGTACCGTCCGGAAACAAAAACTGGACTGAAKAAACAGCCATTGTCCATAAAAAATGCCATTCATTTTCCAGAAAGCCTGAAGAGCTACTGATATTTAAAAACACAAGAAGTGTTGACTTCTTGAAAGCAGAATTTACTCAGTATTGTATGTAAATACAATTATATTTAGGAGTTCATGGAGGTCAACCAACACAGATCATTTCTACAGACTCAGATTTAAGCTTGAAGTTAAACTGAGCGGCTTCGCCTCCAAGACCACAGTCAAACAGCGAATGCTTTTTTTTAAACAGTGATGCTCTCCCTGAAGACCCAGAACAGGAAGTGGGTTTTCCAGTCCCTGACAGTTGTGATTTACTCTGAGCCCCGTGCTGTCTGAGGGAGGAGGAGGAGGATGAGGCAGGAGAAGCGAGTCGTAAATACTCTCCGTTGTGCTTCAGGAAATATCGAGACCAACACGATTTATCAGACTGTGGCTTCTTTCATCTGGGCAAACCCCTCAGAGGCTGTAAAAACATCCACTTGTAATCATTACCATCTGATGGAAAATTAAATCTAGTAGAAAGTTAACTCTGTTACCACAGGAGAGGTGATCAAACCTATCAAGATGTAGACGGCGTGCCTCAGAATAAACGGAGCAGATGATAAGGAAAGCAGAGTATCTTTGTTTCTGTCTCACACACACGCACACGCATGCACACACACACACACACACACACACACACACACACACACACACACACACACACACACACACTTACCATTCCACACACAGCCATAGAGCTCCACCCGAAGGCAAACACTCATCACCCGGTCAGCCAGGGGGTAGAAGCGGACCATACGGGCCACAATGGGGGGTCCGAGGTCTTTCAGCACGACATCATAGGTGTTCTCATTACCTGACACCACCTGGTGAGGGGGAGAGGCAAAAAACACACACTACATCACACTGTTGTTTTGTCTAAATAAATTTTTTGTTTTGTTTTTGGTAAAGGTAAATCTTTCTTGGTACCTGCGGAGTTTATTAAATTTCATTAGGCAGTTCTGATTTTTTTGTTTTTGTTTTAGTCCATCTTCAGTTTCTCTAAATCTAAATGGAGTTGAAGTTTTTGTGTTTAGTTCATGGAAAAGTGAAAAGTGAGGCTGASTGAGTCTCRAAAGGTTTTCATTTTAAAAWTACAKTTATGCACTGTCACARTTTGTGCAGATATGTGACTACAACACGGATCAATATTGTGTGAAACARCTTCATCTTTGTATCAGTAGGGACCACTGTGATTATAATGACATTAAAGCAAAAGCTGAGATGTTTAGAAACATGGTTCTGTGGAAATGTTATGAACAATTAATGTCTTACCTGTTGGAGATAGACCTTCAAACAAAAAAAAGGTTTTTTTGACTTGCTCAATGAGTTCATGTCTAATCCAAGCAGAAGCTGCAGTTTTAAAACAACTCCAACCTCAAACACTTCACAGCAGTTCAGYCTAAAAAGTTATTTTACAAACGTTTACAAGATTTAAGATAAAAAAAAAACCTTTATTGTTTGTCACGGGTTGTAACAGAAAAATATCTTTGGTCCATGATGGAGGCTCAGACACATTAAAATACAGAAAACATCACCTGCTGGAAGRGCCCTGGGCTGCACTGGAAGTGCTACAGCTAGCTGCTTGTAAAAAAACACAATACTAATAAAATAACAGTGTAATGCAAAACTGATGATGGTGTAAATATTTATAAAATATTGGTCGCATTAACCTCTATAAAGGGTTTCAGATTGGGGCTGTTTAAAAATGGCAGCAATCCTCTTTGGCTGTGTTCAGACAGGAAGTTAACGAGTCAATCTGGTCGAAATTAAATCAATTTCTCCAAACTGTGGCAGTTCAAAGAGCTGAAAATGTATTCACTACACACAAAACTCTAGTTTCAAAGATTTAAAATCCATTTAAGGTGAATTATGAAACCTTTTACACTTATTGCTGTTCACATTTGTTTCTCATTCATTTACTTGCACTCTAGATGTTTTTCTATTCTCACCACAGCTATAAGCGTGTCAGTTGTTGGAGGGGGACACTTAGGACATGTGGTCAATAAATCAATGTTTCAGTTTAATGTGCAAAATAAAGTCTGAAGGTGGGGGACAGAGTGTCTGACGTCGTCTCTAGACTCAAGRTGTAGGAAATCTGAATTCCCCACACTATCTCGTAACATGGAAACAAAACACAAAGCAGGACTTATCGCCAAAGAAAAGATTGAACATGTGCCAAAATGGAAACAAAAAATAAATAAACTGAGGTTCCTATCTGTGCAAGATTTTCTCTGCATTGTTCAGCGGGCAGTGACGGCTCAGGCCTGAGCAGAAACACTGCTGGACCACGATGAGCTGGCACAAATCCCATGTCTTCCAAAAGACTAACACAGATTATAWCACAGAGGACTGATTAATGCAACATTTAAACTCAGCAGCTCAAGGACACTGATCATTTCTCTGGTAATGCATCAGAGTTTAAACCTTTTTTCTGCACTTGTGCACAGAGTTGCCATTCTGCTGTGAATAAGAAGAGGAGATAAGAAAAGTCCTGCTGACCTCTTGTCCCCAGCGATCCTTCCAGGTGATCCATTTCTGTCCATCTCTGGAGTAACGAAGTCGATAACTGCGAGCAAACTCCTGACCGAGGCCATCGGCGTGGCGACCTTGAGTGCCAACCAGAGCCAGGAAATGGAGTTTATGCAGGTCAACCTACAATGAAACACATTGTGGAACATCATACTCTAAAAGATATTTGTACTTGTATACAGAAAATACCTGGTGGGCACAGTTCCACTAACCCACTCATCTGCTAATAGCAGAACTGACATCTCAATTAGCGGATTAGCCTTTTTGATAACTTTGGAAACCATTAGTGGACTGATTAGCTTCCACTAAATTAGGTTCACCTAATTTCAAGTCCACTAAAAAATTCACAATTCAAACTAAGTGTGTCAAAAGGAAATAAAATAACATTCAACAATATTTAAATAATAAATACAAAAACCGACTATGTATAAAATATGGWAGAGAAAGTATTTGCTATTTGTTGCTCGACAAACTTCAAACTATATTTATAAAAATACAATTGTGATGAAAAACATGCTTTTATTTTGAAKGGGGTACACTGGACGTATCACAAATTCTAGACAATTAAACACAAATGATCCCATCCAACTTCAAATTGAACCAATAAAATAATCAGTTTGCATCAGTCCCACCAGTCTTCAYCTGGAAGGAGATGAAGAATGACGGTRYTCTTAGRGGTTAGCATTATCTTCCACCAGTTTTTYTTTGTTTAGCAGTTTAGTGTTAGRGAAGCTAATCAGATTAGTGTTTAATGAAGCCAACTTTTTTGGTTAGCTGCCCTCACTYCTGGAAAATACTTTAAATATTTAAAAACTATACTAATAGCTGTAAGGTTTGCAGTTTGAATGTATATTTCATTTTATGAGTATTAGGTGACTGGGGTCTAAAAAAAAAGCAGCTGTTAGTTTTGCACAAAAATGAGAAACAGGTGAAAACAGCTGGCCTAGTTTTGCTCAGACCCACATCTTTTAATCTGTCTACCTCACAAACTTGACTGATTAGACTGGCATCGGGACAAAAAACAGCAGTTTCTCATTTGAGAATGGCTAATGTTACATTGCATCAGCCGAAAAACAGCTTCGTCCTGCAGCATTCGGTCATTTGAGTGGTACTGAAAGGTTGTTTTGGCAGCTGAATGCGTCAGTTCTGGACTTGGTTAAACTGAATGTTTAATYTTTTTCCCCCTCCTGTGAATAGCCTATAAGTTTGAAGTTTTCTGATAAATAAATTCACTTTGAAGCWGGAACTGTTTGAGGTGATTTTCCACATATTTCATCTTTACAGCACGAGTACAACAAAACAGCCAAATGTAAGTGCAGCTGAAACGTTCTTCACATTTTGTCAAACCCCACTCCTCAGCGAGCGCTGAGGGAGCATGAACGATTAGCTGATCAGCACCATTACAAGAATTAACACCTTTATCTTGTAACTACATGTTGGAGTCTTGTGACTCAAGAGAAAAAAACAGCTTAATGAAAAAAAACACCTGAATCCTTCAACTAGAACCAGAAATATTCAGTTCTAAGAAGCAAAACAGTCACAAAACTAAAAAAATTACAATAATTTCTGATTTCTAGAAACATTTAAAGCAAAACATAAAGAAAAATTAGCTCCAAGTTCCATTATCCAACAAAATCTAAATAAATGTGTTTCTTACTGCACAAAAACTAAATAAATAAAATCCACGATCATCAAAGGTTTCATACTTTGTTTCACTGAAAAAAAAACTCATTTCACTCATGTTTCCTGGAAATAGTTGGTTAGATAAAGTCAATAAAACTTGTGTGTTTAACTGATCGTTTCAGCATCTAAAAAGGAACAGTTSACAGAAAAAGTGACAAGATGTAATAATTAAGTATCAGTGCTGGTCATAAATTCATTTTTAACCGCAATTAATCTCATTATTATGCACAGAATTAAATGACGACTACAAGATGTTTAGAGCATTTTGAAAGTATTGTTTTGGGTGCAGTGCATTTTTAAAAAAACATGCAAGCCTGTTCCACGTTTGTCTATTTTTCTTTCACACGCTTGCATTCAGCCTCGTCTGCAGAACCCTCCCTCTCTACATTTTTGAAATTAAGTGATATTTCAGGCTTGAACTACTCCGATAAGACAGCTCAGTGTTGCAGTGCTTCCAGATAACGTCCAGCCGACCGTGGGGAAGAGCTTTAAAATAAAAATGCTCATGTAAAAGTCTGGTACCTTCCATCATGTCTCTTTCCTTGTTGCTCATTTTCTGGGTTCATATTTATTGTTTATTTATTAGGATCCCCATTAGTCTCCACTGCAGAGGAGACTACTCTTCCTGGGGTCCAACAAGACATAAAAACACCAAAACAAATCAATTAATGCAACCCAATGTATGTGTTCATGTGACTGTTGAACAGCAACAGTCCTACAAAGGCTCTCGTTGGTTGAGAAGTGTAATGATGTCCATCTAAAGTTAATAGTGATCTAAATACTTTGATCAAACAGCTCACTTACACATAAAAATCAGATGAAATGCAACAGGACCGTTKAGACTGAAGTCACTTTAAAAAACATCAGATATGGGTCGCATTAGGGCTGCACTATATACCATTTGAGCAGTGTCATTTTGATGTTCGTGTGCATTAATCACATCGCACATCCTGGGATGTAGGAGGCAAATTAAATCAATGTGTAATCCATAAGTCATCACAATAAATGGTTGTGTAACGGGTTTTATTTTGATGGGTTGCTTCCACCGGTGGAAGCAGCTGCTGATGGCTGCGTGCGCTTCATGAAAAAAACAAAAAACAAAAAAAAAAACAACTTTCATTTTGTTGTAAAACTTTAGGGACAATAAGGGCAGCATTTTTCAGAGAACTGTTATCAGTGAGTTCTCAAGCCATGGAGGAAAACAAGGATCTTGACAAAAACAAGGAGGAAACGCACAGTGTGGCATGAATACTAATGTTAAAGCATGATGAAAACAGAAACTAAGATGGACACACAGGCAATACATCAGGTTTGTTTATTAGTAAAATGCACTTCATGTTTGCACTTGGTAAAAGGAAACATGTATTCAGGTCACAGCATAATAAAAGCTTCCAATAAAATACAAGAAAAACTCTTAAATTCAGACAAAAACGTATACTTGTATCGCACTATAAAGAGGTAAGAGCAGGTTCATCATCAACAAGACGGCAGCAAAACTTAAAGTTTTATTTAATTCCTGTATTTTTTCATATCTCAATATATGTTGTAGAGTTAGAACACAATATAATATCATGCAGCCCTAGGTCATATAGGGGCAAAAAAATAAAATAAAAAATCAGATTTGGGTCACATTTGCCTGCAGTGTGAACGCAGCCTAAATGAGGTCAATCTGGACACTGTTTATTGCAAGTAAGATATTGACAATGCAATGACTCATCTTAAAAAATGTAAATAAAAACAAACAAAAGTCAGCTGTCTTGTCATATATTAAGTTTAAAATTTGAAATGGTGCTAAAATAGTCTTTAATTATAACTCAAAGCTGCTCCAAAGCAGTGACTTCACTGGTCTAAGTGTTAGAAATGCATTCTGTGAAACCTTAACATAGCTGGTACAACAAACAGTGCTCTCAAATAATAACAGCTTGTAATTCATTACAGAAAACACGACAATCAGTAATTGTTTTTTTTTTTCTTTTCTTTTTTTTTGCACAGAGGATCCAGTAGAACAGAGTAAACTGAGTCACTGACCTGAAGGTATTCTGATCCGCTGGGAAAGACGGGTCCTGCTGGACACCATGCTCCATCTCCCTCTCCAGTGCTCAGCCTGAGACAGACATAAACTCAGTGTGAATAAAAAAAACATCTAGATTTAAAAAAAATAAAAACATCACAGTTCAACACAAAAACTAGAGTCTAGATCAAAACGTTTAGGGAGTTCAGAAATACAAGTGAGAATTGAACACGAACTCTCTAACCCTCTGCTCGAATAATAACACTGTAGTTAAAGATTCACACATCTGTAGAGGAATGAGAAGCAGAAATACAGAAAGCTGGAGAGACACAGATCGCAAACTGGTTAAAAATTACAACGAGACCAGTTGATGACGAGAACAGAATATAAATTACAAACTTCATCACGTTCCTCAAACCTCACAACAAGTTCTGGTGAAAAATGTTAGTTCTAATCGTTACTGAGAGCTCCTACCATGACCACACACACACACACACACACACACACACACACACACACACACACACACACACACACACACACACACACACACACACACACACACACACACACACACACACACACACACCAAACCAAACCAAACCAAACATTTTCACTCAGTGGGACCTTCCTCCATCCAGGCGGAGAACAAGCGTTCACACGAGGACCACATCTTGGTCACAGGAAGACCACAACCTTGGCTGCGAGTCCGTGAGTTTTGGATCGACTTGGAYAAAAACTCCGGGCCACGACCGCGCTCCGACCGCTTCTCAAAATGAAAGCTGCTGCTCTGACCACCAAAACAAATCACTAAATCAACTCGGTTACACCGACAGCAAGGTTTGGATTTTAATCAACCCCAGTTTGTCCCCAGCGGGTGAGCTCATCCAGCAAGCGGCCACAAGATTAGATCAACACATTTAAGCTCCATCGGGTGTCCTGTGATGGAGAGAGGAGAGCTACAGCTGAGTTTGAACTGATATGCACCAGCTTGCGGGAGCCACATTAAAATGTATTGTTCTGTCATCTGAACTTTTATTTTTCCTCTTTTTTTGCTCCCACCATTTCCAGCCAACTCCTCATTACTCCTCCGGTCTTCATTCATTCCCTTAATATTTTTCAAAATGATATTTTCCTGGTTTGGAGTAATAACAGTATTAACAAAAAAATGCAGCTTCTGCATCTCTCTCCCACATAGCAGCCTCCATCAAACAACGATTTCAAACTTTTCACCCTCCAGCTTTCGGCGCACTACTGCAGCAKTGCACCTTTCACTTTTTTCCCCTTTAACTTTTAGTTTACGTCCGCTGTTCTGCCTGTTTTTCCCCTCTCTCAGGGTCTCCCTAACGTGTCTTTAAAAAAGAGCTTGAGCTAACAATCACTTCCACATGGTGCGAGACTCTGCCAAGAGACCCGGCCCAACAAACCAGCAGAGACAAATGAACTCCAACACGAGCACATGATCCTGCAAAAGCTCTTCCACGTGGCCGAAGCATGTTAAAGGTCTAACTCGGCTCCCATGGATCAAAGCTCGCTGCCAAAGCAGACAAGGTGGTAATGTAATTACCAGATGGGTTTTTATGAAGACATGCACACTATCATCTTCATCCATAATCTAATAGATGTCTGAAAATGTGTTTCAGCGCGGTGCCAACAGACTGACAATAAGCTATTCAGACAAACACATTAGTTTGCAGAAGTGCTGTTACTTCATTTACATATTGCTCAGGTAGGAGAAAACACTACGCTGCATGCATAAATATGAGGCTAAATTGTGTTCATCATTAAACTGATTACAAAATACAGCACTATCACCTGTAAAATAACACGYACATCAAACTTAAAAGTTGGGGGTTGGCTTTTTCAGAGAACAAAATTAATATGCAGTCAAAGTGCATTTAACCTGGTGGGTACAGCTAACAAAAAAGTTATTTTCTTTAGCTAACTAAAAATATAGCTTCACTAATGCTAAACAGCTAAACCATTAAAAACTAGCTGATGCTAACAGTAAGAGCTAATCGCTAAGACGACTGTCACTCGGTCTGCATCACACGTCTTTGTCTTCTTCTAGCTGAAGACTGGTGGGGCTGACACAAACCTGCTCGTATTAGCTTATTTAGCTTTTAGCAGACTTAAAGTTGGAAAAACCTAATTTAGATMAAGCTATTTGGTCCACTAACTGTTCTATAAAGTTAGAGAAAAAGCTTATCCGCTAAAGGAAAAATTTATTTCAGGATTAGCTGTTAGACGAACCATGTCCACGACTGCTTTTAATAAATTTATCTACACACCTACTTATTCTAATTTAAGACAGTGTAAGAAAGCTATGTAAAAATTAGAATAATTGATCTATATCAAAAACAACACACATAACTAGCTTAGCAATGCTTCTTGTAAAAAAACTCTGATCTTTTCATAACAAGTTCATTAGTTTTGTCCATCCATCCATCCATTTTCTGTACACGCTTATTCCTTTTCAGGGTTGCGTGGGTCACTGGTGTCCATATCCAGCAGTCACAGTGCGAGGGGCYGGGTACACCCTGGACAGGTCGCAAGTCCATCACAGYGACACACATAGAGACAAACGAGACAAACAACCATTCACTCTCTCACTCACACCTAGGGACAATTTAGAGTTATCAATTAACCTAACAGTCATGTTTTTGGTCTGTGGGAGGCATTCGTTTTGTGATTTGTTCAAAACCTGCTTTGTTTGAAAAAAATAAAATAAAATAAAATAAAACCTTCCCCACGAAAGCCCCACAAATCCTGGTCAAAGTGTTATAATCTGTGGACTCCCATTAAATTCCATCCCTGAACAGAGGCCACAGATTCTGGTAAGATTCAAGTCAGGGTCACTGTTGGGTCAAGCTTGAAGCCTCTGCTGTCTAGCCAAGCATGTGATGGAGTGTGGGAGGAGGCATGTGATGGAGCAATGACCTGCATGAAGATTAAGACCCTAATAAATACTATAAACGTCTTCCAGTACAAGTGTGTCKTTCCATTTACTGGCAGCAGGTTGTGGAGCTGATATTTAGTCCATCTTCATCCTGGAAAGCTCTGGCTGGCTCATGCATTTATGTCTGCATTTGATATCATGTAGCCTGAAAAGTTCTGGTACGTTTTGTGARATTCAAGTTAAACACATTTATAAATTAACAATTTGAATAGTCACAAAAAAATGTTTGTCTGACAAGATCGCATATTTTGTCTAAATGTTTATTTTTTCTCCATGTTTTTGATTTTTATTTTTACTTCTACAATATCACTAATAGTTTAAAACTTTTAACTGGTTTTATTTTTCATCCATTTCATATATTTCTTCAACACTACCTGCACTTTATGTTTTCATTGTGATGTTTTTATTGCCTTTTTTCTGTTTTTATGTTCACTTTGAACTTGCTCGAGATTAAAAAAAATCCTTTTGTTTTAGTGCATTTCACACATGTATGTCTGAAATCAAAGTAAATGTTTTTTAAAAGAATTCTTTTTACAAATTATACTTCATTTAAGAAAAGCAGAACTTAGTGTAAATACAATTCAAGTGATTTGAGTAAAAACAACTGAATCTGTGCAAACAGTATAAAACATTTTAAACGTTTTTCTAACAATATTGTACATATTCAAAGTCAAAGCTTTTTCTTTAAAGCATATTTGCAGTCATCAGTGTTTAATCTTAGCTTTTCATATTCAGACTAAAACACCATTCTGTGCTCACTCTCCAGAGCAAATCACATGTAGGCAGCACTCCAGATTCAAAGGACTGGCATCCGAGTGTTTAATCCAGCCTATCAAGTCTCAGCAAGTGCTGCTATTCACAGTGGTGATTATGTGTTCTTTATAAAGAGCTCTTTCATAAGAAAAACTCTGAAAGAAAAAAAGAAAACCAAATTTAAAAGCGCCTCACCTACAGGTTTAAATTAATCCTTGAATTTGTTTAATGATTTACATTCTGCAACAAGACGAGTAACTTTACTCCCAAATCATTTTTTTTTCATGTTATAAATTTGAGAAGCCGTTTTTCACAAGAGAGACAGGATCATTTATTTTCCGTGCGGCTGAATATCTAACACGACACTCAAAAGTTGAGTTATCGGCTGTAATCCATCACAGTGAACATCAGATTTACATTATTATGTCAAAGCTGCCTGCCAATTTCTGAACTTGGTAAATGCAAGGAATGATGGGAAAACTACTTCAGAATTTACGACTGTWTGACAATGAAGTTTAAAATGAAAAACAAGCTGCAATCATCCTCAAAATGTCACATTAGTTACAATAAATTAGCTGGTTCTGCAGTTCTTAAAGATAAATCAACAGCTTTCCATTAATCTGACAGTAGCTGAATGCCTGATTTCCCACCGGTTTACYGTGGACATTTTAGGACATCCTCAGGTCAAAGGAAAAACACCACCAGACTTACCTGTGGATGTTTCCTGAAACCTGAGGATGTCCTAAAATATACATCATACTGGTGCTGCTCTAAAACACTGAACTCCTGATGTTCTGTTCTGCTACTAACAGGCAGGCATGTAATAAAACATAATCAGCTGTTCAGAAGAATTTGACAAATCCAGTTCCTTAATAACAAGAGCCAAAAGAAAGGATTAAATGTAAARGGATTACAGAATAAAAGCACTTTCATTTAATGTCAAGAACCATCTTATTGGCGCCTCACACTCACTGGTCTCTATAAGTACGCCTGTTGGACGCAGTTTATCATGAAGTACAAGAATTCAGAAGGTAAACTCCTTATTCAACACAGCTCTCTGTTGTCTCAGGCTGACTGGCCAACATTGTCCATGAAGAGATTTTTTTTTTGTTATTATTATTTTTGCATTGGTATAATTTCATTTGCAAAGCCATCTTTGGTTTTCTGCCAACATATTTGTCTTTCTATATGTCACATAAACAAAGCATCCTGTGCTCCCAGTCCATTATTACTTTTACTGTTCCCTTGGTACCTACATCGCTGCCTCTTCTTGGAAACTGAAACTGTCCAGTTTAATTTCACTAAAGAATTTCAAACTTATTTGAAAAACAATAAAAAAAGCATCATTGGAGGGTTGTTCCTTCTAATATTATATTTCCACTTTTTCATTATTTAGTTTTTAATCTAGTGCTTTTATTTAGTATGCATTGGGCTGACTATTGCATTTGTAACAGCATTTATATTCTGCATGATCACTTAAAACATAATTGTGCCACAGTGAGATTACTTGTAAATGTAGAATAATTGAATTAAATCAACTCTGGGCTGCAAGGGAAGATCTGCTGCCTGTCTAACCAGTATTTTATTTTTATCCTCTATCTACTGTATATGCTTGTTAGTTTGAAATATCACAAAACCATCTGCAGAAATACTAAGGCCTCCACACAGAAACTTATTTTTTAAAAACAGGTAACCTTTCATTTGTCATTTCTCGATCTTGACAACATTGAGCTCATGGTACTTGGCTTAGTTCTCAATAATAATAATAAATAAATAAATAAATAAATAAACAAACAAACAAATACATAAAACGTCCATCAAACACACAAATTAGCTACAAAAGGTATAGGTCAATCAAAATATCTTAAAATTAAAAAAATAAATAAAAATACAGACATCTTAATAACACTCCATCAATTTCATGGGATTAAGAAAAGACAGAAGTGATATTATGCTTGAGTTTCTATGCTTGTTGCTCTGGAAACCATTGTTTTGCCATCTTCCTTCCTGCTTTGCATTCCTGCCCACAATGCGATGAAAACTAAATTGCCTTTCAACAAAGCAGATTGGAGCGGTGTGAGGAAAAGAAAAAAGGTTAGGACTCTGGTGACTGACAGATGCAAAAGAGCTGAAAACAAAAAAGAAAAACCATGACAAAAGGCCGAGTGGAACAGGAACTGCTCGAGAATTTCAACTCAATGGTCATTTTGCTCTCCCAGCGCCGCATGTTACCTGATATCAGGTAGACTGATTTTTATCTTTGCCTCACAGCAGAACCAGGCCAGACAGCGGCATATTTAAAAGAGCAAAGAAATGACACCCACTGAGATTACGCCCATTCAACACAGACTGTAAATATGCTGGTTCTACCCTCATAATCCCCTAAAAGCTAAAATCCACCCAAGCTGTCGAACCGGCCTCGTTTTAATTGAGCTTCCTGGCATCTTTTACAGCCGTTCATTTCAAGTTCTTGGATGTTGAGTGATTTGTTACTTCATGCTTGTTTTCCACACCTGAGGAGGACTGGTTGTGCACATATACCGTGAGTCTGGCTGTACAAACTCAAAACAGCCAGGTGTGCTTCATAAAGAACAGCCCTCACAGAGTAAATACATCCTTTACACGAGAGAGAGAAGGGGGCATGTACTCACAGTTCCTCCAGATAAGGAAAATTCTTGAATACGTATGCTGGAAGCTCCGTGATGTTGTTCATACTCAGGTCACTGTGGAAGAGGGGGGGAAAAAAACAACAGTTAAGTGTCTGACGTCTCGGCCTGTCACGATAACAAATTTTACTGGGTAATAAATTGTCTCAGAAATTATTGCGATAAATGATAATATTCTTGTAGACCAATTTAAACTAATATAAATGGTATAACAATTACTGTTTACGGAAGTTTACATTAAAATTTACATAGTGTAAATAGCAAAAACAACTATCGGCAATCCCAAGGGGTCGTAACCTGTATGAAGGCATCAGAAAACTGAAGACGCTCCTCTGGCTAAATGCCTGTTCACAGGCTTTCATGCTACAAAAGGTTAGGAGACCATGCACCTGGCAAATACCTGCAACTGTCCGTCTTACCAAGTTTTTAAATCTTATATCCAACCAAAGTCTTTTTGATCGTGTTTTGAGACTGATTTACTAAACAAGAACTGATTGTGTAAGAATAATAATCTTGTTTTCAGAATGTGTAAGATTATTTGTCTTGTTAGCCTGAAAATTTGACTCAAATTCAGTCAAAAATTTCTGCCAATGGAGTAAGAAAATTTTACTTNAGCTGAAACAGGCTGGGCCTTACAATGCAAAAATGCCATAAAGCTATCCTCATAACACGGCTCCATTTCTAGAAATTTCTTTATCTACATGGAAACGATGAAAATGACCCAAAACAGTGTAGTAACTATGCCAGGCCTGTATGCAGTGCTGTGACACAGCCATAAAAATACACCAAAAACAAGAAACAAGGAGTGACACTTTCATTTTAAAACCCATTGACAAAATAAATTTGGTTTTGGTTTACAAAAGGCTGAAACAATATCAAACAATAAACAATAAGAAACAATGTCAAACAAAACAAAAATTGGGTATTCACAAAAAAGCAGTGATGGGCACAGCTAAACAAAATGTTAGCGTTGCTAACTCATGATCTGCCAACTAAAAATATAGCTTCACTAACAATAAACAGTTAAACATGTAAAAKATAAAWTGCAAAGGTAATTCAGAAGCTAAATGTAACAGCTAACTGCTAACTTAACTAACTTAAACTGAGGGCTGCATTCAAAATAAACATTTGGGATTAAAACACTCGCCGTACATACAACAAGTTTAAACTTGTAGAAAATAATTTCAGCTGCTTCCATCCTCCTCCACAAAGTTTTACAAGCTAATTTATATTTCTGGCAGAGTGTTTATGATTTATGACGACATGACAAAGTTTTGAGAAAAATGTGACTCTGAGGTCTTTTATATTATAAACTGCTTCACTTGATGCACCAGCTAATCTTGCAGGTGCACCATTTTTACAGGTACATATGAATCAAGTCTGAGGAAGATTACTGAAGCAAATGAATAACTTACTGCTGTCTCTCTAACAGATTGATGAAGACATTAGTGTTTTTGCYTAAAAGAAGTCTGTCTGTTGTTAATAACTACTTTTCAGCCTGATATTAAGTTACCATTAAAGTGGGAAAAAGAATTACAGTTTTTAGTCAAAGTGTACACAATAACATACTTAATGACAGTAATTTTATGTTACTTTCACCCTGCACACGCACACTTTTCCTCACCTTCCGTGTTTGGCTTCAGTGGAGTCGGACCAGGCGCTGGAGGCGGTGATGTCAGAGTCTGGAATGGTGCCGTCCTCCATCCCCAGGGCGTACCGACACTGAGCTGCAAGCAAACGATTGGAGAGAAGACAGAAACGGGATAAAGTTATGAGGGAAAATATTTCATGAGTATGAAGCAAACGACCAGAAGAAAAGTTAATATTTCCACTGGCATGTCAGAAGCCATCATTGGTCACYGAGCATAATGTTGTTATGTCATGACTGGGAAAACTTCTGGGCTTTAAAGCTTCCCAACCCACACAGACATTAACCGAAGAGGGACAAAAATGAGATCTTCTTTTTTGCTGTCAGTGGTTACAGAGTCTGACACTGCAGCCAAATATATTTACACTCAGTTTCTCAGATTTTCTGACATTTAATCCCCATAAAAGCTTCAGTGGTAAAAAGCTACCAGCAATAAATTAAATCATATTGTTTTGGTTGGACTGTAAAAAGGATTTTTTGCCATGTTAATACCATTAAAAGACAACATTGGTGCAGAATGTGGCCATCATTACAAGTAGACTAATTAAGTAATGAGTTTTAAAGATGTATTTTATTATTATTTTTAAGTAATCGGATGTGGTTCGGGGTCGAAAATATCAACTGGGAGGTCATTTCTGACTAATCTTGACATGAAATTCCAATATGGTTGCTTCAGGCATGAAAGTGCAGAAAAGCTGCAGTAATGGATGAGATTTTTCATAAACATCTTTAAGCTATGAATCTGCTTTTTGAGCTTGTTTTTGTAGTGTTTTTGTTAACAGTGTATATTGTTATTAGATACAAACATGGGCAGAAGTCGCAGCTAACTCCTGGATCATTTAGTAAAATTAGTTAAAATATATCAAATATTTTGAATATTTTGTGGCTCACTCAGCTCATCCATGTGAGCAGAAGAATAAGATTCAAAATAAACTGAAAGACTGAATAACAG